TCCCTCTTACTTTTGCTGTTTTGCTTCCACCACAATAAAATCACACTTCACAGCTCTCGCTCTCTTTCTCAGTGTACTTCAAGAACAGTTTCCCCGTCTATCCCCGAAATCTGTTTTCTGCATTATTTGCTTGCTTGTTACGCACAAGTCTACCGTTGTTTACAGCGCTGTCGCCAATGTTTTATTTTCCTTTTACTTACTTCCGAAAAGAAAACATAATTTCTGCCTTTCAATACTGAACAAATTTAAACTTTTTAAAATTATGCAAAATGCAAAACGCTTAGCCGTGTCTCTAATAAAACTGCTGTAACTTCAGAGGTAATGTTCATGTGTTGATTAATGGTTTTCTTTCATTTTTGATGTACTGCAGAATATTTTTATAAAATCCCAGGCCAGGAAAATCACCTTCATGTTCTTCTGTGTTTTATCTTCAGCTACTTTTACACAAAGGCATCTGCTGTGATGCTCACACCTTTGATAAAGTCTTGTGTGTGTCAGCTTTCTTTTTATAGATACAAAAATATGTAAATGTACTGATCTGAATTATAATATTTCTGACTGTCTGAGGCAAAATTTCCCAGATTCAAATCGAATTGAATCAAATTGAATCGAATTGAATGAATCGAATCGAATTGAATCGAATCGAATCGAATCGAATCGAATCGAATCGAATCAATCGATTCAGGACCTTGTGAATTGGAATCGAATCGATTCTAGAAATCAGTGATGATACCCAGCCCTAATGCTCATATGACATGGTATTGCATAGTCCCACTAGCAGCTATTTACAGTATAGCTGTCCGTGTGCCTCATGCTTAAGCATTTACAGTACTGTTAAAAACGAAGAAAGATTTTACAAGAATTTCAGAAACCCTGGCAAAAAAAATTTATAAGGAAGCATTTTTTTTCAAGATGCCGCCACAGTAGGCAGCTTGTTACTCAGCTCCCAGCTTGAGGTAACGCACAAATTTCCCCGCCATGGAATCAGTAAAGTGTCATCTCATCTTCTTACTCTTTGGACTAAAATATAATGAAATGATGGGGGATCAAGACATTTGCACAACACTATATTCAGACTACAGTAAACAAAAATTGTATGTATTTATTTTTTCATGTATATGACTCTATGTCTTCAGGCACAGGAGCAAAACTGCCACCCAGACCCTTTTGCAATATTGGACCCCGAGAAGTACAGCCTGCTCTATGCCAGGGGTGGCGACTGGTATGAAGCCTACGATGACTGTCAGGTTATCAGGACATTAGACATTCCATGGTCACATAATGACCCTCATTGCCTATCAGCACACATAATAGTAAAACCGCCTGTGGCAGTTGATCCAGAGGAGAACGAGAAACAACAGCAGTGCCTGACTAATCTGATCGGACATGACCTGGAGAAAGAAGCATCTGATAGACTTGGTGAGCTCACCTTCACCCGTCGGAAACTGGCATCTGCTAGGAAACAAGAGCTGAAGAAACGGGATGACAAGTTGTATGCCACAGAGCCTTGGATAACACATACTGCCTTACCAGAAGAACTACAAGAATGGCGGAACAGAGACTTTCCTGTCACTTTCCACTACATGAGCAGGATCAGCTTCAGCATAAAGGCTGACCTCAGCACAACACCAGAACTTCTTCTTAAAGTTTTTGAAAGGGTGATGAATGACCGAGGGATTAAATACGATGGGCCTGACAATCTCGTGTTGAAAGTTGCAGGCAGGGAGGAGTTTTTATCTGGAGACTACGCCCTGAACGATTTCCTCTGGGTGCGACAGTGCCTGAAAACCAACCAAGAGCTTCACCTCTTTGTTGTCCCCGTGTCGCAGCTTCCCTCGGAGGCTGTCAAATTTGTGGACTGGCCACTTGTTGATGGTTTTAGTGGCCAGTTCAGTTCCCACAATGATCTCAGCCTTAAAGGGAAGGATTTGGATGACATCTTCATGATATCCTTGTGGGACTGCAACAGAAATTTTAGAGTCAAATTGCTTGGATTTGATATCCCACAACTTCCAAGCAAATGTCCTCAGTCTGTTTATGTTGAAGCATCCATTCTCCATGGTAACAAGGTCCTCTCTTCAGTGTCCTCCATTCCCAAGCCCTTTTCAGATGAAGTGCTGTGGAATGAGTGGCTGGACTTTGATGTTCTCCTTAGGGATCTGCCACGTGGAGCTAAGCTGGGTCTCACTATTAACGAAAGTCCTGGTGACATGTCTGCAGCAACAAAAGTGCCATCGCCTTCAAGCAACAAAACAATAGACTTGCTGAAAGGGAGAGGAAAAGTGCTCTACTTTGTCAACCTACTCCTCATAGATCACAGGTGCGAATTTTTGTTTTTATTTAAGCAAAATATCTTTATTAACAGTATAAGGGAAAAACATACATAAGCAGTTAGCTATAAAACTGTCATTTAAAAATCTCCGCTCTCCTGTTAAGTCATGCTTAGTTTGTAGTGTTAGCCAGTTATTAATTAAGTATACCAATAATATCCAAAATATGATACCATGGTAACACCACAAATCTGAGTAACAATGACAAACATTTCACAAAGATAATACACACAAAAGTTGCATTGTTGGATGTTTATGCCATTTCAGTGCCCAGTTCTTGCACATGCTTATTTTCCATTTGGTGTACTACACCACGCTATCACGGCAAAGCACGCCAGTCCACCGTGTCCATTTCACGCTTTTCAGTACCAGCAGGGGGAGATAATATATTTAAAGCCATAAAGTCGCTAGTGACCTATGATTAACCAATTAAGCTAGGTGGCTTATATGTATTACGTGTAAATGTGTTAGTAATGTCTGTGTAAATGCTTTTATTAATTTATTTTTTATTGGCTTGAAATAAAATATCGCCCTCTGCTGTAACCGACTGTAAACTGTAAACTTCTGCATTCGTGTACATTTCCTGCTATTGAGAGGCAGAGCATCAAATGACACGGTGGACCGGCGTGTTTATTACACGTTTTGCCGTGATACATTTCAGGCACACAAGAAACTTTAATATTTGAATGCGCTAAATAGGATGTTAGTATGGAATTTTAACAGGTGTGAAATTACTGAGTTAGCCAAATTTCATCCTTTCACAGTATCTGGACTAGAGTTACAAGTCTAATCAGTTCATGAAGTACGTTGTTTGTAAGCAGGGACCCAGTCTTTTGCAACTGCTACAAATCCATGTGTGTCCATGTGCGTGGTTTTATTTACAGCTACAAAATGTTGATAACATTTGGGTAACATATGAATATACTAGTGTGTATGCATGTGTTGCCAACCTTAGTGTCAACATTGGTTTTGAGATCTCTATTTATTATTCATTTATTAATTTATGTTTTATTTATTACAAATGTGTATTTATTATTACGCCATCTGACATCTCAGTTTGTGCTCTTATACTCTTCATTTGAGAGAACGTCGAGACTTTTCTTGCAGTACTGTAAAACTAACTATTATTTACACGGTGTTTCAACATGGGACACCACCTATCCCTGCAGGTCTGTTCTGAGCCAGGGGCCCTACACACTGCACATGTGGTCACACCCTGGCCTGGATGATGAGGCCATCACCTACCAAGCAGACAAGCTGTCAACTGCTACTAACCCAGACATAGCTGACTCCATGGCTATCAGCTTCCTTTTAGACCGCTACAGCTTTCCTGTGGTTGTCCCAAATACTGTTACCAACTCTGAATGTTCCAACTCCAGAGAACGTGAGACTCACGATTCTCATGTCCCCCCACCCTTGCCTATCAAAAGATATTCTTTGCCAGCAAACTCACTGACTGACAATGTAACTCTCAAATCCCCAACTACAACCATCAACACCAAAAAGCCATGCCTCAGAAGGTTTCGGGAGGAGAGTGTCCGTTATGCCTCTAGTCTACCCCAGTACTTGCGTAATGTTGACTGGATGAACCGCAATTCGGTTGAAGATGTCCACTGGCTACTGGGATACTGGCAACCTGAGGAACTGGATGTAACAGTGGCATTGGAGCTACTAAGCATGGATTTTGCAGATGAGTTTGTCAGGAGACTGGCAGTGAAGAGACTGGAGAGTCTGTCTAATGATGATGTGCTGAAGTATTTGCTTCAGCTTGTGCAGGTATGTGTTTATATGAAAACTGATAAACAGATTCATTCATATTGCCTGACGCGCAAAACGTCATATGAAATAATTAAACTACTATAAGCGACCTGTTTAGTTTGCAAAGTGAATCTGTCTTTATTCCACTCCCCATTCTATTGAACACCAGGACTGTATGCGTTGCTTTTTTTTATTACAATTACAATACATAAAAAAAATCATGATTACTGCTAATCTAAACTGGCAAATGATTTCCCTGAAGCCACAGACTTGTTTAAAAATGTTCTCTTAGAGTCTGTGTGGAATGCATTACCAATGCAATGACATTTATCAGATTGTATTGGTTACATTAGACATCACCCACTTATCCATCTCTTCTCTGACAGCTTTCATTTTGCTTCATGTTTTATTTTCCCTATGACCCTTACTCCAAGATGCTTTCCACATTTTTGTTCTGTTCTTTTTCATAAGGCCTAACATTCACCTTTTGTCAAAGTCATGTAAATATATCCAGTAGAATGTGAACACATTTAAGCATTTTAACCACCCCCCATCCCACTATTTAAGGATATTTGTAAAATCACTTAAAATGACTAAAGTGTGACAATGACCTTTTCCTTCACCTTTAACTCTTACAGATCCTAAAAGTGGAACCTTACCATGACAGTTTCCTCGCTCGGTACCTCATCCAAAGAGCTCTGCGGGTAAGTCATGAAGCATCCACTGTGACTGCAGTGTACTGACATGTACAAGGTAGTCCGCAGAATAGTTTTGCTAGACAAAATTATTATTTTTTGTCTCTTTCCAATGAAAAGAGACAAAACAAAACCTACTTAAAGAAACTAAATAATCACTTGCAGTGGTAGCTGGTGGTGAGAGTGGGTGGGCTAACAAATACAATTCATAGACGGCACTGTAGCAATCGCAGCATCACATCCCTGGTTCCAAGTTACAGCCACATGTTGTCATAGTAACAGTAACAAAGACTATAGAAAAATACCCAGAATGAGCTAAGGCTAAAAAATGTACTCTCTTACACACACACACACACACACACACACACACACACACACACACACACACACACCTTCTTACTAGATATTTCTGTACTAGGGATGGGTTTAAAAAAATCAACTTCCAATTTAAATTAATTTTAAATAATGTGATATTGATTCCTTAAATCCTTAAATGACATTTTTCAAATAGAAATGTATTTTGCCGTGTATGAGACTTGCAAGAGGTTGACAAGAGAAAGCCATGCAAGAGTTAAGTGGCCTGGTGCCACAAGCCTAAAGGCAGATGTTCGGCAGCTGTATTTGGATTCAAGAACTGTGAAGACAGCGAAGAGCTGGACAAAAGTAAAGCCATATGCAAGGCGTGCAAAATGGAGGTGAAATACTGTGGAAAAAGTAAAAGTTGAATAAAAGTTGCAATATTGTAAATGCTTTAGGATCTGTTGTTAATTTGGAAATTAATATATTTAATTTACAAAGTTTAAAGGGTTATTTGAACAGTACATATCCAAGATAAATGATCATAATTATAATATTTCTGACTGAGTCAAAGTCGAATTGAGTCAGGACCTTGTGAATCAGAATGGAATCAGCTCTATTCTGTACACATCAGCATGTCATATTTTTCATTGCTCAGTGATGCCAGAAAAATCAATTCACGCTCTGTGGGAATGCACTCCAGAGTACGAGGCGGTATTCACAGCAAAAATAATGGTCATTATAGAAGAGCAACAGGCAACAGGAAGAAATTGTGCTACAGTCATTTAAGGAGAGAGAGAGAGAGGTGTCGGGCGCACCTTTTTTTAAAGAGAAGCTCGCGTCATCAACCTCTCTGGGCCGGAAACATGTTAATCAATGGTGTTAACCATTAATCAATGGTGATTTTTGGATCCCGTCAGATGACCTCTTATTCTATGCTGATGTCATGAGGATGTATTTGTGTTAATTTCAATGTTTCAGAAACTCTGAAGTTTTTTCTTAGTCAGCATCTGCAACTATGACTTTGCAGACTTTAACCCTGGAAATTCCACACTTCTGTCCACCGCCATCATCTCACCTTTTTGGTTGTCTCTGCGTATCAATGAAAATCAAGGAAATGTTTCCTGGGGGAACTTTATTCAAACTGCAGAATTGAGCCTGTTGAGAATTGAAGCATTATGGTACCACTTAGATAATATAAAGCCCCGTTAGGTTCTATGTTTGTGTGCTGGTCCACAATAACAAACAGTTTTTGACTCTCTAGAATCTGCACAAGAATCCTGATGTTTTGTGCTCAAATCCGATTTTATAATTATACTATACAAAAGCACTAAAGTAGCTCCCAATTATGATTGGCTCACAGCTTATAAAAAGCTTGTGACAAGCTTAATCATGGATCTGATTTTCTTTCTTTCTTTTTATTTATCTATTTTTGTATTTTCATTCACAATAGTCATCAAAAGATCAGGTTTTTGTGTGAATAAAAATAATACCTTTCATTTAAAAGTTTTTCTTTTTTCAGGTGAGTTTAATAAAGGTTTCAGTCTGCTGGAACATTAATGAATGTTTTTACACCAGTAAGATGTCGACTGCGACCAGCTCTGTTTCACGCTGTCTGACTTACTTACATCTTTCACTGCAGAGCAAAAGAATCGGACACTTCTTCTTCTGGTACGTTCGCAGTGAGGTAGCAGGGTGCCCGTATTTCCGACAGCGCATGGCTGTGATTCTGGAGGCCTACCTACTGGGCTGTGGTCAGGCCATGCTCGACAGCTTCACCCAGCAGGTCCAGGCGGTGGAGGCCCTGCAGGAGGTCGCTGTCATCATTAAAAACCTGTACCCTGACAAGACCAACCTTGATTCTACAAGTAGGGAGCATCATTTTTTCTTAATTAATATATCAAAATTTTATTTTTAAAAAGCTAAAAGTATTTAATTTAGTTTTATTTCACAGGTTTTTACTGAATGTTTTATCATGGTCCAGCATCTCTATCAGATTCAGGTCAGGACTTTGACTAGGCCACTCCAAAGTCTTCATTTTGTTTCTCTTAAGCCATTCAGAGGTGGACCTACTGGTGTGTTTTGGATCATTTTCCTGCTGCAGAGCCAAGTGCACTTCAGCTTGTTTTTGTTTCAGAATGTTTAGTAGACAGCAGAATTCAGTTTTCATTTACCACAGCAAGTCTTTCAGGTCACGAGGCAGCAAAACAGGTACATAACAAGTTTTGGGGATCATCAAGCAAAACTGAACGAGCCTGTATGTTCCTTTTCATCTAGGAACTTCACTCTGCAGGCCATTTTTGTCATGCCATCTCTCACCTAACACATTTTAACATTAACAAAACTTGATCAATTCCTAAAAGAGTGAAAATGCATTTTAAAGAGCTTAAAATAGAGTTCATATAAAGAGCCATAAAAAAATATTCAAATTAATTAAAGGCAGCAAGGATGCAGATTTACCTGTTTTGTGTTTGTTTGTTTGTTTGTTTGTGTTTTTTAATCAAAAAACAGCCACTCATCCTTGAATCCGAATTACTTTGGAAAACAACAAAGAACATTTCTTTGGAGAATTCATTTTTTAAGATAGAAATTTAAAATGGACCTATTATACTTTCCTTTATGTTCTGTTATAAAATACTCTCATAATTCAGGTTTTAAATGTAAGCTCCACGGGCTTCTCAGTAAAAGTCCTTGAGCCTCTGCAAGCTGAAATACTTTCCTTGTTATGTTCTTGCGTGACAAAAGCATTTCACTTTGGAAAGGCCATTTATAAGATGACCTATTAAACTCTATTTTACCTCTGCCAATGAATTTATGTTTGTGCTAGCGTTTAGGTGCACCCACGTCATTCTGTCTGTAAACACAATACAACTCCTCTCTGGCTCTGCCAATGTCATGTAGGTACATTTTTAAAAAAAAATGAAATTCATTAAAAGTAAATCCCTTCATACTAAACACAGCCCAGAGAGTGAGCTGCCTTGGCAGTCCTTCTTGTTAATTATGGTTATTTTTTTTTATGTTCTTGCATGTTATTGTTTCCAAGTTACTACATTATTATTTATCTACCAGCTGTAGAAGGTTAGCAAAGCTTTGCATGTAACTTTGAATGTACTTTGGAAAAGCTTCTTCCAGCTGGCCTCGTGTTGAGTTCCCTTTTAATATACATGAAGAAATCCCATCTGTGTATGGCTAAGTATGGCTGGGTTCCTGTATGTAGATGAAGTAGTGCTGCACACCTGATGTTCATCAGCCGATGAATAACAGAAGCTCTATCCCTACCCAGGCTAGGAAAGACATCCTTGAAATGCATTAGATGTTTTTATAGCAACTTTTCAGAAGCCAAGGACTCTAATCCCCAAAAGCAGCTGTTGTGTCACTGTTAAACCACTTCACTTAAATATATCTGTTGATCTTGTTGTAGCTCCCTTCCGGCTTCAGGAGCTTCTTAGAGACAGTAACCTACCAAATGAATTCTTGCTGCCCTTTGACCCTCGCATTAAATGTGGAAGGATCCTGGTAAGCTTTGCTGGCTTTCTGTCTCTATTTGTACATTGAGCTTTAGGGTTTTGTGAAAGTGTGGTGAATAAAAAAAATGTTGGGTATATTTTTATATATCGCATTTGAGCATTTTGTGTGTGGTTTAGTCTTATATTCTAAGTTTACTATATGCATTATTTATAAACAATGCAAGAGGCTGACCTTTTCATCAAAAGGGCAACCTCTTTGTGATGATGTTTCAGGTTAAGAACTGGAGACAGATAGATGTGCACATTACTTGGTCAGGCTTGCAGTTTTGTACATAGTTGAGGAAATGTTATCAATTTGTACAGTACAATCATTATAGTAGACCACTGTGAATTCCTCCTTGGCCTGTTTTTGTTTTTTGCATCACATTTTCTGTCTGCTTCATATAATTCAAGTATAATTACTTACTTGAACTTTTCTTCAACATAAATTTGTTACTTATTCTGTTTTTCCTGATTACAATAAGTACACCACAGTATCTTTTGTTGTTGTTGTTGTTGTTGTTGATTAAATTAAAAAGGCTGTGGTGAAGAAAAATATCTCACACAAACGGTTTGCTTTACTTCTCTGTGATGTAGCTCGATAAATGCAAAGTAATGGCCTCAAAGAAGAAGCCTCTGTGGCTGGAGTTCTCTCCCATGCCATCGCCTACCTCCGCCACACCTGTTGGAATAATCTTCAAAGAGGGGGATGACCTCAGACAGGACATGCTGGTCATTCAGGTCAGACAGATCTTTTGTTACTTTGATTACTTGAATTCTCTTCCTCAAATAAGAATACTGATTTTTTTTGTGTGTGAATATATTTCCTACATGCTTGGAAAAAGGTGAATATACAGTACTTCATACTTACATCATACGGTACTTCATACTTATCTGACCAACCCTTATATTTAAAATTCATATAAATAACTACGTATCTTTTTCTGCGCTGCTCCTTTATTTGTCCCTCAGGGCTCAATTCTTGGACCAGTTCAGTTTTTCATTTTTTGCGTTGCTCCTAGGTTATATACTTAACAGGTTTGGTATGCCCAAAATACACAACTTGTCATGGTCCTGGGTCCTTTTGACCCAGCATTTTGTGTTTTCCATTAGTGTGATTGTTGGTTCTGTTCTTCCTCTGTTTAGTGTTTACTCTGTTCTGCCCGTGTGTTCCTGTATCAAGTCCGCGTTTCTTAGTCTGTGTCCTTGCATGTGTAAGTTCCTGTTTTATTGTGAAGGTCTGCGTCTTATGTGAGTGTTTTCAGTTCGCCTCCCTAGTCTCGTCACGTTAATCACGTGTGTCCCCACCTGTGTGTAATCTCCCTGTGTTTTTAAGTCGTGTCTTCTGTCTTAGTCGTTGCTGGTTTGTCTGTGTTGTTTCCCCTTGGTCTCCCTGCGTCTCTCCGTATGTATTTCCCCGGACCTCCCTGCATCTTCGTTCAGGTTTGTTTTCTTAGCTCTGCCCAGTTTAGATTTTCCAGTTTCATGTTCACCCACCATTGCTGTTTGTACCCACTCCTGTAAATAAATACTCACCTGCACCAGAGCTGCCGCCTTTTGGGTCCTTTCTACAAACTCCACACGTCTGCCACACCGGACGTGACACAACTTTACTTTTCTGCTAAAAAAACTCAAGTCTATCGTAGTTTTACATCAGGTTGAAAAGACACATGAACGTTTGCATATTTCTGTTTAGGCACTGGTGCTGATGGACTCCATCTGGAAGGAGAAATCCCTGGACCTCAATCTTGTTCCATATGGCTGCATCTCCACTGGACACAACATAGGTATCAGCATCAGTGTGCTTTAATAGTGTCCACAGTTGGTACTGGATGGCTCTTTTTAGTAGTGGTTGTTGAAGTTATACTAATATAATTTACTAATCAAGTAATAGCTTGTTTACAGAGTCAGCAAAAGAACACACATTCTGTACTTAAGTAGAAGTACAGATATTGGTGTTAAAAAATACTCCAGTGAAAGCTGAATTACTGATTTAACGCCTTTACTCAAGTAAAAGTGAAAGAGTACAGGCTCTGAAATGTATCTGCTATATCATTGTAATACAAAAATAATATTAGTACATGAAGTTAAAAATGTTATTCAAATCTAAATCTGCTTCTTCATCATCATCTCAATCTGTTATTTAGGACACAAGCAGTGAAAGAGAAAATAAATAAATGGGGGCTGATCTGTTGTAGTGGCTCAGCGTGGGGAAAATACTGACAGCCCACAATGATTTCTAATGTCAGCTCCAGCAGATTTTCTTAGTGGACAAGCTGTGATCAGCGGACATGCAGATCACAGCTCTGAGGTTACTCATAATGAATACGTTGCCCAAATTAGTCATCTTACGTAAGCTTTACTTAAGGCAACTGAGAAATATTTAGAACTAATTAGATTTTACACTGTATAAAGACTGAATTCAGTGACTGAATCTAAGCACCGTCAGTTCATTTGTAAATGAATGTCTGCTACACTTGATGTAACCCAAGATCCACAGCGGCTGACCACCACAGCCACTGTGTTTCAGTCCAACACAGTACTTTACTGTCAATTCACCACATTAATACAAGGTAACCTGTTTATCCTGAGCAAAACTACCCAGAATTTTCATGCAACATTTCAGTAACACAAATTTGCTATGCTTAGTTTGTTTTGCAGGACGTTTCACAAAATTAAAATACATAAATTATCAAAACACATCACATACAAATCCAACATGTGACTAAAATTATGACATCGCAAGAAAGCATTAAATTTGCAGTTTATCATTTGTCACTGAGCAGTTCTTACAGCTTACATCTTTTTTCCATGAGTGAAGTTAGCTCAATGTTTTCTCTTCCTGGAAATGCAGTAGATGAAGCAACAAACTGTTTGTACGTTTGTTGAGCTGATAGAAACATTGTAAAATCTTTATGTGTTGTAGAAACAGTTCTCCCTTTATGCACCATTGCTATTAGCTAGATGCTGACTACAACATAAAGACACCGGCACTTGTTCCGTCCCACTTAACCCCTGAATATAAACGCTATAAATGATACCGCTGAACCTAAAGTAACAAGCCTGTTCTGAAAATGTAAGGAGCAGAAAGTACAGACATTTGTTTAAAAATGTAAGCAGTAAAAAAAATGGTCAGAAAAATAACCAGAAGAGAACAGAATACCCCTTTATTGTCACTGTGTATATAAATAGTCAAATTCAATTCAATTTTATTTATACAGCACCAAATCACAACAACGGGTGCCTCAAGGCGCTTTATATTGTAAGGTAGACCCTACAATAATACATACAGAGAAAAACCCAACAATCATATTAACCCCTATGAGCAAGCACTTTGGCGACAGTAGGAGGTTGAAATAAATAGCAAACAGGAGACATATAGAGAAATATTTACAAAAAAAGAGAAAATTACACATTGGACAGTTGTAGGTGAGTCTGGAGGTGTGGGACCTGATTGACCTGAGGCCCCAACCAGAGGGCAGCGGGTTAAACTAGTGGTGGGCGGGGTGCAAGGGGTCACCTGTGATGCCCCTAGTTTTCCTAAGATGGGAGGATCTGGTGATGGTCTCCTGGAGTGGCAGAAGGCAGGTAATGATTTTTTGGGCGGTGTTAATTACCCTCTGCACAGCCTTCCTGTTCTCAATAGTGTCCCCTGCGTAACAAACACCCAGGCAGCAGGAGAGCATGCTCTCCACTGTGGAGCGGTAGAAGGCCAGCAGCAGCTTCTGGTCCAGGTTATTCTTCTTTAGGACACGGAGGAAGTGCAGCCACTGCTGAGCCTTCTTTACCAGGGTGTTGGTGTTGTTGGTCTAGGTGAGATCAGTGGAGATGTGGGTGCCAGAAACCTGAAGGTGGAGACAGATTCCACCTTTTCTCCATTTAAAATGAGAGGGGAGTGGATCCATCTCTGATCTGTAAACCGAACAGAGAACAATCTAAACCTTAGAATGTTCAAATTGGACTTGTTCTTTTATTATATTTGACCTGAAATAAGTGACTGAGCCCATAAATTCATCATGAAAGTGTTTACGAAAGGCAGGGCCTAGGACATTTTTATAAGACTTTTCACAACCACAGCTATTGCCCCAAATTTGTATTTATACATGTTGTTATGGGGTTTTCTGTATAGTATTTTATCAATTTACCAATTTAACCTATGACCAGTTTACTATAATAAATTATGTAACATGCCTGCTTATTGGACTGTGGGAGGGGAAAAAAGCACCCACCCACATGGCAGAGGATCAACATGCAACCACTACACCTGCACAGTGTTGTGTTTTTTGTAACAGTGTTTTGTGAGAGGGTTTTTTTCCCCCTGGAATTAGGTTTCTGTTTGAAGTTTAAAACACATGTTTAAAGGTGAAGCGCAAAATGAAAGTGTCCTTGTCATCAGGTATGATTGAGATTGTGAGGAATGCAACAACGATCGCTGCGGTCCAGAGGAGCCAAGGAGGAGCAACTGGAGCCTTCAAAAACAATGCTCTGTTTGAGTGGCTCAAGTCCAAGTGTCCACTACAGGAAATTGTGAGTAAATCAAAAGCAATCGCAGGTCCTTTCTGTTGTTTCCCTCAGTAATAAGAAAAAAATCCCAACTAAAACATGAAACTGTTGTGGTTTTATTTGACTGTAGCACTTCAAGAACGTGGATAGATTTGTGAATTCCTGTGCTGGTTACTGTGTGGCCACATATGTACTGGGTATAGGCGATCGACACAATGACAACATCATGATCAGAGAAGACGGTAAGCAGCACAAATCACTGAAAACACCTTATTGGCTACTGTTATCACATGTTATTTACTGATTTGTTATTATCATCTTATGATATGACAGATGCTTTTTGTCCTCTAAAACAAGCTGCATGATAAAATGAATTCATAAATGAACAAATTAACTGATAATTAGAAAAAACTAAAGTAATCTTCCCTCTCAGGGAACTTGTTTCACATTGACTTCGGACACATCCTGGGTAACAGGAAGTACTTTCTTGGCGTGAAAAGGGAGCGAGCACCTTTCGTCCTCACACCTGACTTCCTGTATGTCATGGGCAGGGTCGATGGTCGCAACAGCCTCTACTTTCAGCGTTTTAGGGTAAGATGGCTTTATCATTTGTCCAGCTTTGCATAAAAATGTTTTAACAGGTCCCATAAATAGTCAGCTTCTCAGTGGATTTCAACCTTTTACCTTAGTAATTCGCTGTGGCAGTCAGGACCAAGACGTTAGTTCTCTTAGTTCTTTTGGCCATAAACAGCTGTCCAAGGTAAGCGTAGAAGGAAACGTTAAGAGAAATCCTCCATCCATCCATCTTCTGCTTCCGGGGCTGAGTCACAGGGGCAGCAGCCCAAGCAGAGAAGCCCAGACCTCCCTCTCCACAGCCACCTTCTCCAGCTTGTCCAAGGGATCACCAAGGCGTTCCCAGGGTCCTGGGTCTGCCCTCCTCCTTGTGGGACATGCCCGGAACACCTCACTCAGGAGGCGCCCAGGAGGCATCATTGTCAGATGCCCAAACCACCTCAACTAGCTCCTGTCCCTGACCCGAAGTGGGCACTCCACCCTTTTCCGGCTAGGACCATGGCCTCAGATTTGGAGGTGCTGATTCTCATTCCCACCTCTTCACACTTTATGAACCATTCCAAAGTGAGCTGGAGGCCATCACCTGATGAATCCCACAGAACCACATCATCTGCAAAAAGCAGAGATGAGATTCTGACACCACCTAGGTGAAAGGTGAGGTGACCACCTAGAAATCCTATGCATAAAAATTACAAACAGAATCTGTGACAAAGAGCAGCCCTGGTAGAGCCCATCACCACCTAGGAACGAGTCCGTCTTATTGCTGGCCATGCAGGCCCCCCTCCGCGAATTGCTACCTTACCGTGGTGGAGGAGTTTGTGTATCCCAGGGATCCCAAGGGCTATGTTGTCTGGGGGCATTTAGGCAAATTGGTCCTGGGTGAGGGACCAGACAAAGAGCGATTCAGAAGACCTCTATGAGAAGACCATCAAAGGAATCGTTCACCCTGCCCGGGATAGGGTTACCGGGGACCGGCCTGGAGCCAGGCCCAGGGAGGCTGCCCGAGTGGGAGTGCCTGGTCGGGCCTTAGTCGATGGGGCCAAGAAATTCTAATTTCCTAGTATAATTCAAACTTCATTCAATGTTGTTCAATGATGAAAGCATGCATTCGTGGCCCAACTCCAACAAAATAGGCCTAAATAATGGGACAAAATTCTGATGTGTGTTCCTCTCTCTTAACAGAATGCTTTTCATTGAACCCAAGAAGCTCTGTTTTGATCTCCTCTCAGTACAAAAATATAATTCTGACTTCTGGCTTGTCCATGCAGTCTTTATGAAACCGCAGGCAGGCTGCAGTGTTCTGATTTAAAAGCAGAGGCTTTTCTCCTTGCTGACCTTATTAAGACTTTTGATTCATGCCAATTGAGTTTATTCCAGAAGTACACACACACACTAATTAAAAGCAGCCTGATTCTTATTTTGGATACCACTTTTAGAATTATAGAAAAAATCTCAACTTCAGCTGTCCTTATTGTTTTATCTTTGCTTTTCTTTATTATTCTATCTTTTCTTGCCTCCAACACCCACATTAGGACACCTGCACAGAAGCATACCTCTCCCTGCGCTCCCACTCTCGTCTGTTGGTGACTCTTTTCTCGCTCATGCTGCTCACGGGCATCCCAGAGCTGAGCGCTGCAGAGGATATGCGCTACTTGCGGGTGGCGCTCCAGGAGGAGCAGAATGAGGCAGATGCCAGGGAGCACTTTCTCCAACAGATCTCTGAGTGTGAGAAGCTAGGCTGGACTGTGCAGGCCAACTTCTGGATCCACATGATGGGAGGCATCAAGTAGATTAATGCATTTTGCTCTGCCTTAAAAATAAGTGAACGTTTTTCTGTGGAAGCTTTTTAGTTTTACAGGTGTATTTTTTATATTTATGTAATATCACTGATCCTTGGGCTGTTTTTACAGGAAGTAAGGGGGTGGGAAACTGTTGTGCATAAACAATGGATATCTGTCATAATTACAGTGTAAATACTTAGAATCTGCTGTTTATTGTAAATTGTAACATCTGTAGAAGGGTTATAATTCTCATATAATACTCAAATAAAAACTAGGCTCTAAAAAAAAGAAAAACTGAAAGGATATGGTGTACTTAGAAATATGACCACCAATAAAATAAAAATACAGTTTAGTTTTAGTCTATGTCAGTTTGGTACACATGTTTATTAAGACTAGAGACAAACTGATTTTTAAAACCAGTACCAATACCATTATTTTGTGATTTAAAAACCCAATATGTCGGCAGATTTTTTTTTGTTATGTGGATTTATATATATGACCCTTTACTGTAATGATAATGCAGTTAAAAATTAATTTTGTTTTAATGTCATAACAAGTCATGGATTACTTGTTAACTCTAGTTTTTTTCTCTTTTGATTTGTCGTGTATCAAACACATGTTGCCAAGGAAAGTTTCACAAGGCGAACGGATAGGCAAACTATGCAACATCAGCACTCATAACATAGCTGAAGAGCCAGTGATTATAAATGCAGATGTCAATATATTGGCAAATAACTAATCAATATCAGCCAGGCTCTAGTTGAGACTACATGTTGGTGAGTCATAGAGTGGTGTGTTTGTATTGTAATCCCTATTCTGACAAAAAGTTTATGCTGTGATGTAGTGCATGTGGTGCTCATGCTGTACTTTGCCCCCCCTTTGATTGTCTGCCCCACTATCATTTATTCCAGATTGATTGCGTTTGTGTTAATACTCCATCCTTTTCTCCTGTCCTAGATTCCTGTTCTGTTTGTACCAAACTTTTGATGTTACTTTTAAAGTTTTGTCACAATAAAAAAAATTAAGAATAAACTTATCAGTTAAAAGAAAAAAACGTAATTCAGTAATATTTCTGAAAACTAACAACTTTATAATGATTATGTGAAGGACAAAACTCTGTCTTCTCTGTAATATTCATTTTTGAGGTTGAATGCATCATTGGGGTTGACTGAGAGTTTTATATATTTTAATATTGATCAGATCTCTGAATGGAGGAGCAGGTCACTGTAGTTTTTCCCAACTGAGATATTTGTGCCTATGAATAAATGATAAGTTAGATTACTTTTCTTTAGTCATGAATTGTTTGGGTAAATAGAATCATGCATGCTGATGGAATAAAGCAGGTGGAGTAACATACTTGTGGGAGTCAGTACAGAATACTGATACTGAATAAGACTGATAAAAAAAAGACTAAACAACACAATATGACAGAGCTGTTGATCCAGCAAACGCAGCTTGTATGTAATTGCACTGTTAAAATGGCAATATTGAATTATATTCAAATTCATGAGGGACACCTCTACAAATTATTTCAGGAACATTGTAAAATCAAATTTTTGTTTTTGTTTTTTAATAATAGCCCATGTGTAACAGTTACAGCCAAGACGAGTAAAATGCTGAACACATGGATGCAAAGTCCAAATTATGGGATACAGAAGTCCAAGAAAACATTAATACACAATAAATAAGTATTTTTAAAAAAATTTAAAAAAGGAAAATACACTGAACAATAACTAGACTAGAGAATACTCCAGCCACAACTAGAACAAGACTATCTGGCAGAGACAGAATGGATCCATTTCTTCCCATTATTAACATCAGCTTCTGACCCCACCATCCATATGTTGCAGCAGAAATTGAGATAAGAGAGATAAGATCAATTTTTTTCTTCTGTTGTTCACTTTAGGTGTATCAGTGGGAATTAACAGGAGCATGGTCTTCTGCTCCTGAAGCCACCCTGCTTCAGTGCATGATATGTTGAATGCTCAGAGACGCTCTTCTGCACACCTTGGCAGCAACAAGTGGTTATTTAAGTAAACATCTCTATAAACTCCATAGATGTTTGTACGGGAAAATCCCAGTAGATGAGCAGTTTCTAAAAAATACAATTAAAGTCACTTACATCACCTTCCCTGTTCTGATGATCGTTTTGAGCTTCAGCAGGTCAGCTTGACCACATCTACATGTCTAAATGCACTGCTGCAATATGATTGGCTGATTAGATATTTGCATTATCGAGTCATTTAAAAGGTGTACCTATAATTAAGGAGTTTAAAAGGTGTACTTCTCTCTGCTGGATTTGATCTGAGAGAGGACAATTTCTATGACGGGTCTCAGACCACGATTCACAACACTGTGTGAAAGACTGCAAGACAGTAATTGTTCCAAAGTTCAGCAACATTTGATGTATTTGTATTTGTTCCTTTTACCATCATTTATGCATTCTGCCTTTGCATGTAACTATATTCTACCTATATCTATACTGGATTTGTTCTCTATTCTGTTGATCCTTTAGTAAAGTTTTTTTTTTTTTTTACTTTTTCTCTTTTTCATCCAATGTTTTCTTCTTTGCTTCTCACATTGTTGTAGTTTTTTTTAGCTGATAAGACATAAATAAATGTAATAGCTGCAAAGATAGTCCTTGATATTAACTATATGCCCCGATGGAGCCTGTTGGCCTGAAATCTTTTTTACTCTTTTCTTTCTCTTTTCATCTCACATGGAGTACTGGGCTGGGCTTCACCCTCCTGCTTTCAATTCACTTCATCAGTCTTGCAGTATTTAAGATCGGCTAATGCTTCCTCGCCTTTCCAGATTATTATAGTGTAGTGTTGAATTTCCTGTGACTGTTGGCTGAAATAATGTCTTTGATTTCTTCCTCACAAGACTCGCTTCTAAACTTAAGCTGGTCACCTGCTAGGGAAGAAAACTATACATACCACGGCTCACTTGCATGGCTGCTCTTTACGGCTCTATTCACTTCTGGACTCCTCCAGATGGCTGCACAATAAGTAGCATCCTCAGTCTCCTTGACAACTGTTTTCAAAACTCTTCTGCCACATGCTTTCACTACCTCATTTCGGATATAAGAGCTCGGATCATTATTTGGGCCTTGTCATGGTCCCTGTGCCTCGCTGGTTGACTCTCTATTAGGCAACATATTTGTTTTTGTTTTTTGCTCTCTCCCTCCTTCCTCTCCCCCTCTCGCTCTCTCTCTTTCGCCCCAGCGATGCTCATTACAGGCTCCCACTGCTGGCCCACACACCTGCTCTCATCTCCACACCGGTCGCTGATCTGCACTAGTCTTCGCTGGATCGTTGAGCGATCAGCATCAGTCAAACCTGCGAATCTGAACCTGTGTATCTGTGAGTGTTGTGACTATCCTGTTAACTGGAGCTTTTTGTGTGTAAATTTCTTCTGGAACCTGATTACGGACTACAAGAGGAGTGGCAGTGGAGAAGGAGTTGGAGTTTTGTACAGAAAGTGTGGAGAACGTCTGTTTATATCTGCTTTGTAACTGACTTCAGTCACAGACTGCTGCAAATGCGTGCATTATTCCTCTCATGGCTCGGAAATTTTTATTATTTAATA